TATATATATATATATATAATTTATTTGATAAATTTTTAAGGATAGATGTATAAAACGGGACTTAACTTAATATGTATAAATTGGTTATTTAAATATATACAGTTTACTCCTAAATATGTTTTTTTTTATGAATATACATATGTGTAATATTTGATCGGCTTTGTATAAATTATAAATTACGAATTATACATTTTGAAAAATAAACATAATCAATGTATATATACGATTAATTCGTAAGTTTGGTTCACTTTTTTGTACAATGTTATTTACAGGCGCTACGAAACTTAAATACCGATACATACATCCAATCTTTCTTCGGCTCAATAATAATCATACAAAAAAATAAAAATTAAAAAAATAACTATCGTAATAAACATAATATTACTAATATTAAAAATATCAAAATAATAATATTAATGTGTTAATACATTATTATTAAAAATATGAGAGTATCATACTAATATATCAATAATAATAATTAAAAAAATACCGCAAAAAAAGTAATACAAGTACAATACTATAACGATGACGACACAATGGCGATGTAATGACAATAATGAGGATGATAATAACGCAAACTGCTAACAATAGTATTGTTGACGAGAGATGTATCATATGCAACGTGTTAATGATACATAGTTTACAGTTTAGGTACATGTACACGTGAACGGATTACGGTGCGTATGAAGGCAAGCAGTGCAACACAAACTAAGAGGTTTACCAAGCATGGAGACGGCTGTCTACATGACGACGATATTTCATTATTGTGTCAAAGAAGCAGAGAGAACGTGAAAGCACAGTCAGCATAATCAAATCATTGAAATGTTAAAGGGCGAATTCTATGTTATCTAGGGCACTGGACGAAACAGAAAGAGATTGAGCTTCTGTTCTTCTGCGCTTCTTTCTTTCTTTTTTTTTTCTCTCATCCACAAATAGGATTCGGTGTGTGGGAATGCCGCTTTTGATTCTCTTTTCTTTTTTTCTTTACCTGTTTCTCAAATGCACGTTGGAAGATTCCGATGAGGCGGGTGGGGGTGAGGGTGGACCACCCCTTTCTCTGATTCTGACAATTGTTAGCATTTGTTAGTGCGATGAAGGTCATACTAGGTGTGTGTTTCTATCTGCAGGCTAGTTTCAATCTATTTGGCTTTTCTCAAATTTTATCTCTTTGTTATCGTTCGCCGATACGAATACCTTCACGTTTATCTTTTACAAACAGCTTGGAATAATTTTCAGCTTTTTACAAATGCATTTTATGTTGAATCTTAAAAATACAAAAAAAAAAAGACGAATTTAACGTGATCGATATTTCAACATGATTGTGAAAAAATTTCGGCAAATCACTTTTATTCCTATTTATTCTTATCATTGGATAAATGCCTCACCTCCGGCCTATAAATGCTGCGACAAGTTTTTTAATGTAACATTTTCAGAGAACGTCAAGAGAAATAGCTTAATAGCAAATTTTGTAATCAATGAATATGTAAATTAATCATTTCTCTTAGAATGGCGTTGTTTCATCGTACTCAGTAGAAATAGTTTAGAAATTAATGTTATGATTACAATATTTCTTGATGATTCATGGATGCAGAAATATGATCTAACACCGTTAATTGTTAATTATATTGTTTTTCATTTAATATATTACGTATAAAAATACTATTCTAAAATGGTCAACCGGTTGCACGCGTGCAACTATACACATATATATGTTAATAAATCTTTCGCTAAGATAAAATCGATAGTTTTAATTACACGATAAGTACTTATATCAATTTAATGTATGATGTATGTGGGGTGTCATAAGACTATGGCTGTTCTTTTGAGCAATTTGTTATATATAGGCGAATTTTTTCCCATCGAAAACTTTATTTTATCGAGTCTAAACTGATTAAAGAGTTCGCAGTCGAAAAAAATGGCGTTAGTTTTGGGACACCCTCAGTAAATGTATGCGTGTGATTTTGTGTGTACGGTGCATATATGTGTTTTTTTCTTTCTTTTTTTTTTCTTTATGCGTATATCAATGGAAGCTATGATGATTAATATAAAATTATGAGAACACTTTAAAGACTCTAGTTGCTTTTATGCACACCACGTTTATTTGCCTTTTATTCTCTAAGCTCGCGTTTAAATCTATATTGCTATTCGATGGTTGAATTTATTCTTCATAAAATTTGGAAACACTCTTAAACTTTCAATTTATATCTCGGTATAATTTTAATCGATAATATACGCTCTAACTCTGTATGGTAAAGTTTATTGCTTAGTTCAACATGGAGAAATTCTCTGTATCGTCTAACATGTATATCTACATATAGCTATATCCTCGCATTTGTCGATAATTCGTAGTAAAAAGACTGGAGAAAAGATTCTTTTACGACGGTACTACTCTTGTACATATAGTTTATAGCACACTCCGATAATGTATTATCGGCTGTATTATACCTCTATTTTCGTCACATCTACTATTCCATCTGACACGACTTGGATTATACTATTTTTTTTTTTACTATTTCGCTAGAAGAGCGCCTATGATTTCTCTACGACTAGCGCGATCATAAAAGATAATCGAATCGTAACGATATAGAATGCAGTCTTTTAAAATTACGTCCAGTTTAAATGCCAGGCGTTAATTCTGATGGCTAGAAAAACGGGCGGAAATGATGATAATGATGATGATGATGCTCTTGCTCGTTTTAATTCAAGTGTAACCATTCTCAGCCGAAATGAGAGAACGGAACCCAGTTGGGATAGGTGAGCGGTGGTTGTTGGTGTGGCAATGCGTGTGTTGCTGCGTGTGTGTGATAGTGTAAGCTACGGCCGGCTCCTGGTGGCATTACTGGAACGGCAATCGCTGACTGGGCTTGTTGATGGGCCTGATGGCCGACTATGTCTACGAACGGGCTCGCCGTACTCGCGGCTGGGCCTGGTGGCATCGCAGCCGCCGCAGCCTGGGCGGCAGCTGTATGGCTTGTGACATAGTACGGATTGTGTGCAGGCGGCCTCACGCTGTAGGCGATGGTTGTTGTTGTCGTGGACGATAGTTGTCGCAGTTGCGTTGCAGTTGCAGTAGTTCGTAGTCAGGTACCAAAGGACACCACAAAACCAAAAGCACAAAGAATTAGCCCAGGGGGAAAAAAGAGGCGAAACGAAGGAACAGGAGAGAAACCAACGAGATCTCCAAATGCGAATTTTATATTACGTCCCATTGGCATTGAGATAAAACGCGAACCGATAAGTCGCTCCGCGAACAAAAAAGATATATGAAATAATAATGTAATAAAATGATATAATGTTTCCTTTCATGCCAATGGAATATTCGGAGAATCTGAGGGAGGAGACTTATCCATTTCGCCGCGATTACAAGTTTCTTATAGGAAATATAAAATTACAGTTAGATAACTTGCTATATAAACGAATTTTTATCTCGTAGATATTTTATACACTACTCGATTGCAGCAAAACTCAATTTTATCAAAACCAGTGAAAGAGAAAAGCAACACAAAGTACAAAATTAGCCCCCTGTTAAACATAGCTGCATCTCGTAAAGAATAATTGAAATTGCGAACAATAGACTCAAGAAGTGTAGAAATGATAAGCGGCAAAAGCAATTGGAAGCTCTGTTGAAGTCGTCGCATAATGCATGGTCTCGACTGGGCCCCCGAAACACGATAAAAGTACGCAGACGACGTAGACTTTCGTCCATAAATTAATTTTCCTGCTAACTAACTCTGGAAACCTCGCTCGGCCAAATGTATTTTGAAGCACAAAGCAGTACCGTTTACAAGATGTGACTCTTTGATATTAAAATAGCGAGGAGATATGCAAAGTGTGTATTATAATAAGAAAGAAGAGAGATTCGAATTTTCGAAGCAAATTTAACAATTATTTTACTCTCTTCCTTTCTCGTGCGTGTCGGAAAATAAATGTCAAAATGGCATAGACGTAGTAGAAAATTTTGAGGACTGTTACCTAGGGGATATGACGAGAGAACTACTAAAACAAAATTAAAAAAAAAAAAAATATAAAAAAATACAGAAATAACCAAACATAAAAAGCAAGTGCGTAATAACGCAGTCCAGTATGTGTAGCCTGCTTCCAGTAATGCCAATCAGGTCGAAGTGTCACGATGGCGCGAATACGTATGCGAGTATGCAGACATTGGCCTTCCTTCTGAATACATATGCATATTATATATGTATATACGATTGTAGACTTGTGCGGGACGTCATACATCAATGAGCCACAATGCCAAATCCCATAATAAGTGGCGTGAAACGGATGTAGCATGATCCACGCGTGAGCGTTTCGGCAAATGAATGAAAATAATTATTAGCTGTCGAGAGAAATTAATTTATGGACACGATATATAAGTCACGTAGCATGCGGCGTGATTCTTATTAAGATATTAATGAACGAGCGACTCAATGGGAGATAAATGAAAAGAAAAAGAACGAGATAGTGTCAATGAAACAATGATAACTATTTGCGAACGTGCGCTTGAAGCAAATTTCATTCGTTGTATGCCGATTATACACATTCCGTCATATTTCTTTGATTTACATTGTATGATAATAATTACGTTGCTAAACGTTTGATTCATGAAATGAATTTCCTAATATTATTTTGGTGATTAACATATCCTTAAAAAATCGTTTCCTATCACGTATCGGTATTTAGCGATTACAATGATAAGTGAGCGCTTTTACCTGTTCTGAGCGATTTTTCTCAGTGTGTCCGGACTTCGTATGAGCTTGTCCAAAGTCTGTGTGAGATTGGAGAAGGTCGGCCGATGGGTGCGCTCTTTCTGCCAGCAATCGAGCATTAACTGGTAGATAGCCTCCGGACAATCCATCGGCGCTGGAAGCCTGTAGCCTTTCTCGATCGATTTTATCACATCTTGATTCGACCAGTTCCAGTACGGCCTCTCGCCGTACGACATCACCTCCCAACATACGATACCCATACTCCAAACGTCGGAGGCGCTCGTGAATTTACGGAACGCTATCGCCTCCGGTGCTGTCCACCGTACCGGAATTTTACCGCCCTGAATATAAATGGTAGATTAATCGGGCAAGAAATTATAAATATATATTCGAGCCTTATAAGTCGTTGGCTTATATTAATTTCGATTCTGCAACTTAAATCTGCTTACCCTGGTCGTGTAAGCTCCCTCCGTGGCACTCTCGATCTCTCTACTGAGCCCAAAATCGGCGATCTTGCAAACCAAAGCGGCATTGACTAACACGTTTCTCGCGGCGAGATCGCGGTGCACGTAGTTCATCTCCGCGAGGTACTGCATGCCGCTGGCGATGCCACGCAGCATGCCCACCAGCTGGAGCACTTGGAACTTGCCGTCGTTCGCGCGCAAGAAAGTGTCCAGGCTACCGTTCTCCATAAACTCCGTGATGATCATCACCGGATTGCTCTTTGTCACCACGCCTTGCAGGAATATCACGTTGGGGTGTTCAAATTGGCCCATTATCGACGCCTCTGTCAGGAAATCATTACGAGCCTTGTCTGCAGAGCCTGGCTTCAGGGTCTTTATGGCCACATCTATTTCCGTCCGTCCATCGGGAGGCAATTTCAATTTCCCTCGGCAGACATCGCCGAACTCACCGCCACCTGTGGTCGCAAAAAACATCGTCGAGAGAATATAATAAAATTACTAAAATTATCTTATTTGATAACCGTTCGTGATACCATATATAATAATGTACAAAGTCGCACCTATAATGGCTTCTATCGTGATATATCCGGCGTCAATCTCTCGGGCAAATTCGCGTACTGCCTGATTCGGGTCCTCGTAGGTGTGAGGATCCACATAACTCCTTGCACCTGCACCGCCTGCGCCGCCTGCGCCCGCCGCGGCGACCCCCACTGCAGGTGTGAACAGCGGCGTGGTCACTGCAACGTCACGAAAACAGAGTTCATTATATTAACACGAGGGCCGGTGGTGCGAAATTTTGACAGAACTCTAGACCGCGCGTCCCAACATTCGCTCTATCGCTCGGCCAACCGTGTCAAATCCCGCAAAAAAAAGAAACACTCACACATTCTTTCTCGTCAGCGAGTTTAAAATTTCCAAAAAACAAGACACAACCAAGAAAGCCAAACGCAGGTGGATTCTAAAATATGTCTCTTCTCTTTTTCAGTCCCACTTTAGTGAAAGAGTCTTTTTTTTTTTACTTGTATGTGTTTATCTAGCTTAGAATCTGGTGTATTTAATGTCGAACGGCGGTGTCTATGTATGCTAGAAAAAAATTCGCGCATAGTCAAAATGTACAAATTTTTGCATGCTAAATTATTTTGAAGATTATTGCCGATATATCCGGAAAACTCAGCGATTTTTTACACCGCTCGTCCCAGATGCTTCGGACGATTCAAACAGTCTTCCTCTCGTTGATTTTTACAATCTTCTTTGTTCACACCACAATTTAGTATTTTTCTATTTGAGCCGTCTCGGAACATCCAAGTATTTTGCATGTATCATGGTAAGAAGAAAGGCGATCGCGGAGCACGATCGCTTGAAGAAAAATAAAAAATAAGATTTAAAAAATTGAATGCAAGAACATGATGCAATTGCGTGCGAAACACGGGGCTGCAGCATGCTTTTATTATTTCCAAACTTTTCATTCATATCGCATATCTAGGACAGTGAAGAAAGAACAGAACGGAGTGTAGCGTAACTAAAGCTAAACTATAATAATCGTGGAGAACTCGGAGTGAGTGTACGAGTGTCGGTGCGTTCGGTTATGCCTTTAATATATCGTGCGGACATGTCCGGCGTTTCTGTTTTTCTTTCAGTCACGAAAATTTTGGTCGGAGATTAATTTGGGAAACAAAGGACTTACGCGAGGACTTGCTCTTGTTGTTGGTATGGGTTGTCACAATCGGTGAACTGTCCATTTTGCAGTGCACTGTGAACAACACAACAACCAACACACTAATTGACAAACAGCAAAACAAAAAGAAGCGGCGAGTGTACAATGATGAATTCTTTTTTTAAATGACGTAAAGTGAGAAATGATAACTGAAATATCTTGATCACGGATGAGGCTATAGTGAAAATATGTAATCGAATCCAAAATTATTAGAAAATTATTAGAATATCCACATAACGCGCTGATTAAAAATGCACTCCTTTAAGCGTATCTGTATTTTCTTTTTATCTTTTACGTTCTAACCCCGGTGTGTTTCACGAGTCAAATCCAGATATAAAAAGCACATACGATATTAACATCGACACACTGGAAAATACGCATGCAATTGAAACGTGAGCAATGCAACATAACAAACATACGCAAGCACAATGCGCACATACGCGAACACGCATAATGTGTATCTAAGAAAATTAGGTATCGTGCATAATTGTTGTATACGTGTGTTTGTTGGTGCGTGTGTGATGTGTGTATATGCAAAAGCGTAAAGTCTGACTTAGACTGAGAGTGTAATGCATGTACAGGGGTTGCAAAAATAATCTACACAAAATTGAGTTCCTAAAAAACAAAACTTGAGGTGTTTGGAGAAGACTTACTGTAGGTCACAACTAGTCCTGTAGTAGCAGGCGATTGTGTACATTGTTTCATTGGATTTTTTCATGGATTTTTCATGGAGGCAGGTTCGATAGATTAGGGGAATCGCACATGAAAAGAAAGAATCGAAAGAATTTGGTTAGAATAATCGCACTCAGGCAATGGGGCCAGATCGATGTGAATTTTGGTTGGAAAGCGATCGTTTCTCTCTTTAAGTCCCTGTCGCGGACGTATTTCAGAGCCCGACTGCTTTCTCTTCGCTCATTTTCTCTATGGTGTTAATTGTTCAGCTATCTCTCTTTCTCTCACTCTCATCCGCAAAAAAATCTCTACAGTATTGAGGGGGGGGGGGGTGTTTAACGTATTATCGTGGGTCTGTTTGTATACGGGGTTTAGTTTCGACACTTGCTGGATCTAAGGGGGGGGGCCAGTGATTCCAAAGTTAGTCACAAGACACGAGGGCATAGTGAAACAACTATGAAAGTGACAGGGTTGTGGGGGCGGGGCGGGTAATAGCGATAATAAATTTGTGAAAAGAGAAATTTCGATGCAAAATGCAAACGTACCTTCGCCGTTTCTATACTCCAGGGTGTCGCAGTCGCTCGGCTGTTTCTTGTTGCATTCGTCCGAGGCCCTGCTGCAACGAAATCGTATATCAGTCGAATTGAGCAAAGCTTTGGATTGGAAGGAAGTGACTTTTCTTGCGTTCGTACGATTGTTGGCAATATTTGAGACATATATTTTCAAATATCGAAAATGATTCAATTACCTTCTAAGAATTAAAACGGTCATGATGATAATAATCACGAGAAGTACGACCACAGCAACGATCGCCCCTGCGATTATCCTAACTTGCATGTTGTCGTCCTCGCCGACGTAGTCTGCATGAAACATTTCTGTTAAAGGCGCGGTACACAAAGAAGATTACGAAATGTGAATCTAAATGCCACCGAACGCGCTTACCTAAACCCATCGAGGGGGGTGTCTTTTTAAATATCACCGGCGTGTACTCGCCCCAGCCACGGGTGGTCTTAGCGCGAACCTGTATCGCGTAATCCGTGGAAGGCTTGAGACCTTTGAACGTGGCAGACAGCTCGGACGTTTGAATGACGGTTGCATTAGTAGCGTCGTCATAGCGCGGGTAACACCTCACTGTACCAGATATCGAGATTATTAATCCCTCCGCCGTCACAATGCGATCGAATGACAATTTAGAAATGATCTCGCCGTACAATGGCGTAGCAACGTATTGTTATTATGACTTTTAGCTTTACCTTCATATCGCTCGACGAGATCGTTGTCTCCGCCAGCTCCGATATCTGGCGCGTCCCAACTGATACTGAGCTCTGAGTTCTTGACACTTGTGATCCTGACGTTGCTCACTAGACTTGGCACGCTCGCCTCTGTCGTAACGGTAATGTCCACGTATTCCGATTTGCCGACCAACGACGATACGCCGTTCTCGGCGAACACTTGGAAGCGATAAGTAGTCACCGCGTTCAGGCCGGTTATCGTGATCTTCGTGTCGTTGAAGATCTCCTGTTGCAAAATCGAAGCGAACACGAAGCGTCAACTTTTCGATCGAGGAATAATTCAACTACCGCGCAATCGATATAAATATACGATTTTGACGAAAACTCACGGTATTAGGAATGTACTTGACGCCCATGCTGCAGGAATCGCAGTCCACTCTATAAGTCGTGTCAAATCTGCCACCCTGCATATGCGGCGCATTCCAGGAAAGGATCACCGTGGACTGATCGACAAAGTTGACGGTCAGGTTTTGCGGCGCCGAAGGTGGTTCTGCAAAAAAGCATATAGTCTTAAAGATTTTCGCGGAACGCCGACCACCAAATTCTTCCCATCTTCCATGTACGCCAAATTCTTTCTTTGAATACAGTATATCCGCAACTCACAAATATTATATCAAACGATGTAACGCAAATGTAAATTGCAAAAGTTAATATTTTAATGAAAGTACTCAAGGAACTTAATTTAATATTTCAGATGTTCTTTGAAACTCCTAGATTTTTGGACGATTATTTGAACGATTATTTTTCTAAATTTTAAAATAATGACACGAGCTTTTTTTTTTTTTTGTAAAAATTGTTAATTTAATTTAATACTCACGTGTGCAAGGCATTTTCTTAGGATCTTTCTCTGCCCGAAAATAGCCCGGATCGCAACGACACTCCGTGAAGCCGTAATCGGAAGCTTTACTGTGCTCCGGGCATGGCTCGCAGGCATGAGAACCCGCCTCATGTTTGAACTTGCCTATCGGACACTCCTTGCACTCCTGCTTGTCCGTGTCAGCTTGGTAGCCAGGTTTGCAATGGCATCCGCCCGTCGGGAGATACCATTTGCCATCTCCCTTGCAGAGGAAAGTCGGCTGGGCGATTTTGACGGCATTCGCAACGCAAATGCCGCGCGTTTGCTCAATAAGCGCAACCTCGCGACCGGTTGGCGTGGCCGGAAAATGTGCGAAGTTCACCGAAATCTCGGGGCAACTGATGTAGTATACCTTGATGGCCAGGATCGATATGCAAGCGCCCTGGTCACGAAAGGCGAAGTAGACGCCCTTCTTCGTCACCGGAATCGACTTCACTTCGGTGTTTATCACCACCTCGGTGTTCGTGTTGAACCTACCCTCGCCCGCAGCTATACGACCTGCAAGTGCATAAAATCGGCATGTAAAACCGTAAACGTAAATATTGAGAGCGACGAGTTTAATCGAAGACAGCTGCTGATGAAAAAAAAGAAGAACCTAGTAACCCTCCACCGACAACATAAATTTTAATTCTTCCATCAGGAATAGTTTCGAGAAACAGAGCAAACTTTTTATTAAGGTTAATTAAGCTATATTATGATTAATTTATCTACTAATTATGTAAAATTTTAATTTATGTTTTAAAATTTTGTTCAAAAAGTATTCCTCATCTCTTTGGAAATTCTATTAGATTTGTTATTCTCGAAATAATATCATTATATTATTTGTTCTAAAGAGGTAAATCTTTTAATTGTCATTGTTTTGCGTTATCATCGCTTACCTATAAGTTTGTAACTATCCGGTTCCCACGGGGGTGGCTCCTTGGTGGCGGCGTCGAACTCGTAGTAGAGTAGACTGAAAGTCTCCTTACAACTGAGAGCGTTCCCCGGGAACAACGAACAGTCGCGAGTCGTGAAATTGATTTCTATGTACATGCGATTCGCTGGACCCCTCTCTATGAACGGCGTCCACAGCCAGTTGTTCACATTGGTGTACGCTACGTCGCAGACAACGTAACTCCGCCAATTGATACCTTTGTCGAAGTTTGTAAAAGACTCCTCTACCCACTGCGAAACAGATTGAAAAGAAAGAAAATTACGTTAATATGTAATTTTTATACGGGAAACCCATTTCTTTTTTCTATTCTAGTTCTTGGTTGGAAATTAATGAGACCGGCGTGGACAATGGTCGAAAACGGAAATCCTCTTTCGAAAGTATCGAGAAAGCGATCGCATTTCGATGCAGGAAGGCATCCGGCCACTTAAAATCCGCGATGCTAACCCAATTCTACGTGTTACCACCAACCGCGACGAAAGCGAGAAAGCACCACCCGCCGTCGTCATTGTCGTCGGTCGGCCGACATTGGCTGTAGAATCCTCCCTCGGTAAATGACGAGGCGGAGAGGCCAGGTCGTCGACTTGCGACAAACAGACCGCAAGGAATTACCGGCGCGCGTTACCATTAGTTTTATTGCCCCCCTTGGCTCTCGGGCTCGTCCCAAGAGCGACCGCAAAAAGTTCCGACCGGGGCAAGAAGGATCCATCGTCGTCATCCTCGCCGTCACCGGAACCTCTCTCTCTCTCTCTCTCTCTCTCTCTCTCCCCCCCTCTCCTTCCTTCCCTTTCTCTTTTCTTCGCTCTCCCTTGCTCCCTTTCTCTCTCCCTCTTTCCAAAGCCACTCTCCTCTCTTTGCCGCTCCTTTTTTTTACGCGCTCCTCTCCGCTCCCGCGTATTTCATATTCGGACGAGGAAAGACTCGGTAAGGTAAGGAGTGACAAAAAATGGTAGACCGAGGTAGAGCTCGTGAGCCTCTTATCCAGAAGATTTCCTCACGGACGTGTTTCCGGCAGGCGGGCCTGCAATAAATTCAGACCGCGCCGGCTACCCGGTCGCAAAAGGGAGATTATTACGGGGACGATGACGAGGTCGAAAAAATTTCATTAAAGCGCTGCCGGTGAAAAAAAGCTTTTTCAGCGGTCCGAGAGTACCAGTAGCCGGGAACCACGGAGGTGCAGTTCCCGCAATTCGCCGTCGTCCGCGCATCGAATTACGATCCGGTACCCTTCGCACGCCTCCGATCGCAATTAATAGTTTTTAGCAGGGTTTGCGAAACTGGATTCGTGCCGCTTTTAAAGTAAGCACACGGTGCGCTCTTTTGCGATAAGAGAGAATACTATCACAGATGTAATTGGATTAATGGATACTGTCGTGTTTTATACACGAATCGAGTATGAAAATTCGAACTCGCTTTTACGTTTTTAAAATATATCTACATATTATTTTCTCTATTTCCCTGCTATAATCGATATTAAATAAATGTTTCTCCCTGAGGAGGATTATTACAGAAATGAGAACACGCGCCAGTATCACCGTCACGTATTTATTTCGACGCCTTCGCCGAGGTTCTTTATCGTCTGGGAAATTTCATTAAGGACGGTAAAATTCATCCTTCTCCTTTCGCAGAGCCCTCCGTAGCTGTGTCTATACCTGCCGCTTTCAACCTCGCTGCAAGCTGCGAGGAAAAGAGACGAGGAGAGACACGGTGTCGTTAACGCCGCGCGGCATTTAATTGGATCGCACTGAGAGTCGTCCTCGTTTTAATACGCCGCGTCGATTTTTCGGCGAGACGGATTTCGCCCACTGGCGTGACCGTCCCTGTGAAATTACTCATCGGAATTGGGAGAAAAGGCGATTAGCCACTGCATTATATTTCATTGCAATCCCACGATATCGGTTCCCGTCAGCCCTGTGCGCATGGACACATCCGAGACGGAGACATTTTTTTCGTTCTAGCTTTATGAAAGATCGCCACTTAGTTAAGATTTCACGTCGCAGGCAAAATTTTGTAATGTAGAAAAAGATTATAACAGATCCTGCAATTTTTCAAAGTGTATACTCAGTTGGAAAATTTGTGTCAAATGTTACACATTTCATACAACCCAAACGGTTCGCTCAAATTTTTGTGTTTATTTCACGCGAGACGTAAAGTAATTTAAATATTATGTAAAAAATTAACACGAAAAACGTAACAATGATACAATTTGTAAAAAGTCATATTTCTTCGTTAAAATAAATATTTATAATATGCTAAATCAACGTGTTTCAATAAAAATTCAACCATTTATATATTAATATATTAAATCAACACATTTTATTCATTTATCTTGAAATTTACATTACAAAAATTTTTGTTACTTATTCACGTGTTCATAAATTATATTATTACTAAGAGACATGTTGAATATCAATTTAATACAAAATATTCAAATAACACAATTACGTTATTTTAAATTAACACTCAGATACATTAAAAATTCAACACAAAATTTTAACAAGGGCAGACTATTTCTAATACAAGTACGAAATGTTTTCTGCTATATAGCAAATTGTATAATACCGAGAAACACATTCTGATTACACCAACAAAATGGCTAACCAGAAATTCTATTTGCCAAAGTGTCATTTCTTATTGGGCTCTTTTGTTGGTTTAAGCAGAATATTCTTTTTTTAGAGTACTATATCAAGTTTTCCAGAGTGAAGATTGAAGATATAACGTAATGGCTTAATGTGAAAATATCATTTGGATTAGTGGAATAGCATATATACGATAGTTTTTCTTCTAGAACGTATAGTTACCCGCGGTTGCATTAAATATGACCGGTAGATTGTACATTTGCGTATCGTACGATCGACTCTGATGACCGTTCGATGTCGATGAAAACTATGCCGTGGTTAGCGTCTTTGTGGTCGAGTATCGATCGCGCGCCCTCGCCCCGTCTTGTAGTAGGTAGACGTGTCTCGCTATTTTCTGCATTGGCGGAGAAAGCACGAAGCGAGGGAGATGGCACGTGCAAACCACCGACGTAGTTTTCCTCAGTTTTTATGCTTTTTGGCGACGGGATGATGAATCACAAAATTGTATTGGAAAACCTAGCTGACATTCCATTTGTGTTATTTTTTTACACGCATCCTCACATGGAAATAAAATCTCCGAGTCTCTATTTTGTGCACCGTAACTTTCTTTTTCCTGTTAAGATCCGTAAATACCCTTGTCCGGTCGAAGTCTCATTAACTATAACTAGCTATTTGTCCTGGTTTTTTTTTTACGGTTAGACGTTTATGATTTGCTGGAGAAAAAGCAACGCTGACAAAAGATACATTTTGAGAATAATGTGGTTGGGACAGCCAAAATTACCTGAGAGCTACCCCGCGGTGCTTTCACTACTAGGTATCCTAAGGAAAAGAACCGTTTGTCGCCCGTTTGGCTTCTTTCTCGCAGATCAAACCGTGGCAAATAAATAGATAGGAGTCGATGGCTCAGAAATAAAGTCAATAAGTTCAGAATGCGCTCGTACTAGCGAGATGTGCGGAAAAAGAGGAAAACTAAAGACAAACGTGGACGGCAGGATACTGCCACCCTCGCGGATGCGAGGGGCACTGCCCTTACGCCAGTAATATCGCCACCATAATCGCAATTCCGACAGCGTAGCTGTCGGATAGGGAGGTTAGCGAGAGTCCATAGGAAGCTGCTTCCATGAGCAAGAAGGGGAACGTTACGAACTTTTAGTCCGAGGGGTTCGCGGATCTTAATATATATTGAGCTCTCTCTCTCTCTCTCTGTCGGAGGGGGGATTTAACCCTCATCCTTGGGGTGAGGTTGCATCGGCAGGCACGTAGGGCTCTCTCTCCTCCGTCAAGCTACGTGCATCCGGCACTACGAACCGCTCTTGCGACCGGCACGTATCGCATCCAGACGCGATCGAATCTTTCCCCCGTTCTTCTTACCCGACTCTCTTAGCCGACACCTTCGGAAGAATCGAACGCTAATTGCGTTCATGATGAAATTACGCGGAATAAAAGATCGCTGTTGGAGAGCTTCAAACTGAACACTGAAAGATTTTGCTGAAGTATCTGAAAACTTAGGTTGATACTGATCGAAAAATAATTCCGTTGGACCAAAGTAATTATGTAGAGCACTCAAATATGATAAGCAGTACTGTAAAAAATATTGAGATTCTGAGCCACCAGCTTGAACGTCTTACATAATTATTTTGATGAAATATTATCTTTAAATATATATTTAGTTAAATCTCTTTACTAAAAAAAAATCTTTCCAAGTATTTAATATTAATATTTTCAATCTCGGTATTAGATAAACACAGATATACACAGAAGAGAAAGAGAGAAATGAGAAAGAGAAAGAGAGAGAGAGAGACAAAGAAAAAAATGTGTGTAATGTGTACAACGCTATACAGACAGAAAAAAAAATATAATTTCGAAAAAAAAATAAATTCTTTGCTTGAGTGCACAATTTTTCTTCTAAAATTTGTATATTTTAAGAGTATTGCCAAGAAAATATTTTTTGTTAAAGATAATCATTAATTAAAAGAAAAAAAGTAAATTGAATAATCACTTAGCAGTCGAATGATATTTTTCTATAGGTATTGTAATAAGAATTCTAAAGACGCGAGCAATTTCAGTAGATATAGAATAGATATAGAAGCAAATTTATAGTACGTACATAGCGAGCATTCCGTCAATTATCCTCTCGTAGGAAGTTCATTAACTGGAGCACGGTCTGATTCGTGAAATGGTCGTCGCTTTAAATACAATAGTACTATAATATCGTCCGCGATATAATACAGCGTCCGGACGAGGGTAGATCGTCCGTTACGAACGGGCGAACAAGTGCACATATGTGTATCCCCGGGCAGAATGGGCGGCCATCCCTCGGACAGGGGTGGTTACGCCACGCGCCAATCGAAAACTTTATGTTACCGTTTATTCCACGCACCCCAAAGCCGATATAACAGTATTTCAGGGCGAAAGATTGGCAGGAAGACCGTTTAAGGAAGAATTTCCACGGTTCCTTGGCACTTAACTGAGATTTCTTTCTCTTTCTTCCTCTCTCTCTCTCTCTCTCTCTCTCTCTCTCTCGCACGTAAACGCGTGCGAATATGCGTGCATGAACGCGTTCGAAGGGAGAAAAGATCGCCGGTGAAATAAGGAAGCCGGGGTGAGAGAGAAGGTGTCGGATGAGAATTTATTTCTGGATTATTCGAGCCGAG